GCATGTGTGTTTCTGGGGTGGGAAGCTTGCATTTCATTAACATCATAAATGAAATGGCATCATAATAAAGTTCACCAGCATTTTTAATATTTATTTATTTATTTATTTGAAAGGCAGAGTGACTGAGAGAGGGAAAAGACAGAAACAGAGAGAGAGAGAGAGATCTTCCACCCCCTGGTTCACTCCCTAAATGGCTGCAACAGTCAGATCTGGCCCAGGCTGAAGCAAGGAGTCAGGAACTCCATCCTGGTTTCCCATGTGGGTGGCAGGGGCCCAAGCACCTGGACCATCATCTGCTGCCTTCCCAGGGGCATTAGCAGAGAGCTTCGTTAGAAGTAGAGTAGCTGGGACTTGAACTGGCACTCCTGTTTGTGATGCCAGTGTTGCCAGCTGTGGCTTAACCCACAGTACCACAATGCCAGCCCCACCACCAGCAATTTTAGAACAAAATCAAAATGATCCCAAAGTTCATCCAGAAAGGAAGTATATGACTATACTAAGGAGACTCAGGAAGGGAAATACAAGGAGGATCACAGGACTTACCAGAAAATAAAATGTATTTTAAAGCTAAATAGCTAAAATGGGGTAGTATGGCATGAATGTACTCAGAGATGTTGAGACAAGCAGTAACCAAAGAGTCTCAATGTTTCCTATGAACATGCTTCCTATGCAAATCTCATATTTCACAGAGAAGGCCTTTCGACTCCAGGGAAAACAGACATACACCCCTACAGGGGATCACATAGACTATCAGGTACAACACGCAGCTGACATTCACAGAAGACACTTCCAAATGCCTAATTTAAAAAAAAAAATTGTTTTGCGTGATTCTTTATTATTTAAAGAGGGAAACAGTTACACAGACAGAGATCTCCCATCCACTGATTCGCTCTCAGAATGCCTTCAACAGTCAGGTTTGGACCAGGTTGAGACCAAGAACCTGTAACTCCACGCAGGTCTTCCATGTGGGTGGAAGAGGCTAACTGCTTGAGCCATCACCTGCTGCCTCCTGACTGCACCTCAGCAGGAAGCACACACCTTGGCCTCACTGCTGCTGGCCAGCTCTACCACGGGGGAGGCATTTGTCGGGGATCAGCTACTTCACTTCTCTATGCTTCTGCCCATAAAATATTAGTAGTAAATAAAAATCACTGTTGTTGCTACTGTTGTTTATTAATTATTAATAATATGGCAATCATTATTATACTCATGAGTATCTATTTAATAAGAATGTGGCCAGAGGTAGATAATAAACTGAGTCACCTCAAGAGAAAGTTTCCATTTTCGTGGAAAATGGAAAGAATTACTATTGTATTTTTCTATTTAAGATGTTATTATAGGGGCTGGCATGATGGCACAGCAGGTCAAGCCCCTGCTTGGGACATGGGCATCCTGTACTGGAATGCTGGTTTGAGTTCCAGCTGCTCCATTTCCAATCCAGCTTCCTGCTGGGAAGGCAGCAAGAGATGGCCCAAGTACTGGGGCTACAGACACCCATGCAGGACACTAGGATGGAGTTCCCGGCTTTGGCACGGTCCAGCCCTGACTGTTGTAATCATTTGGGGAGTAAGGCAAAGGATGGATGATTCTCTCTGTCTCTCTCTCCTTTCTTTTTCTCTCCAACTCTGTCTTTGAAATTAATAAATCTCTTTTTTTTTATTTGATAGATAGAGTTAGACAGTGAGAGAGAGAGACAGAGAGAAAGGTTTTCCTTCCGTTGGTTCACCCCCTAAATGGCCACTACAGCCAGAGCTGCGCTGATCTGAAGCCAGGAGCCAGGTGCTTCCTCTTGGTCTCCCACACGGGTGCAGGTGCCCAAGCACTTGGGTCATCCTCCACTGCCCTCCCGGGCTACAGATCAGAGCTGGACTGGAAGAGGAGCAACCAGGACTAGAACCTGGCACCCAAATGGGATGCCAGTGCATGGGTGGAGGATTAACCAAGTGAGCCACAGCGCTGGCCCCTCAAATTAATAAATCTTTTAAATAAATCTTTTAAAAAATCAAGAAAAGTCAGTAACATTTTCAAAAAATATAATATATAAAATTTGTTGTTGTTGTTTTAGACTACTTGTCTCAGAAAACCTTACCATAGAGAAGGTTCTGGTTAAGCCATCATCTCCTTCTTGGTAGTGATTTGCTGAACATACAGGCACAATGCAAGAGAAGGCAGCAGCTACATAGGTTTAGACTAAAAGGAGATTCCATGTACTATATTTTAACGTTGTGCTTCAGAATTTCTCTTCCACTTGAGTTTGGTATTAAAGATATACTCTCTCCTGATGTTCCAAAATTGTTGAACACGTGGGAGAAAGAGATGAGAAGATGAAACCAATTCAGACTGATAAAAATGTTTATGAAAAACAAGACCAACAGTTGGACACTAGACTATCAATCATGGCTTTTCCTTTGTCTTAGAAGACTTGCTCTATATGTGGCTTCCCTGAGGCTTTCATTGTAAACATCTGAATACTGCAAATAAAGTAGTTGTCATTATGGGTTGGTCAACCAGTACAGACAATATTAATTCAACTCTTTAGAAAATTTCGTGAGATTGAGATCATCATCTCAATAAATAATAAGGAATTTAAAATTAGAGAAGTTAACTCCAAATCTCATACCATCCTGCGGCTGACTCCTGGCCCATTGATTACTAAAAACTTGATTTCAAATAAATATTCTGAGTATTTTTTTTTTTTTTGACAGGCAGAGTGGACAGTGAGAGAGAGACAGAGAGAGAAAGGTCTTCCTTTGCCGTTGGTTCACCCTCCAATGGCCGCCGCTGCAGCCGGCGCACCGCGCTGATCCTGGCAGGAGCCAGGAGCCAGGTGCTTTTCCTGGTCTCCCATGGGGTGCAGGGCCCAAGCACCTGGGCCATCCTCCACTGCACTCCCTGGCCATAGCAGAGAGCTGGCCTGGAAGAGGGGCAACCGGGACAGAATCCGGCGCCCCAACCGGGACTAGAACCCGGTGTGCCGGCGCCGCAAGGTGGAGGATTAGCCTATTGAGCCACGGCGCCGGCTTAATATTCTGAGTATTTTAAATTCAACCCACTCACTGTTGACCATTTTCCTTCAGCCAAATGGTGAAGTGGTCATATTTGATTACTGTTTGTAGCCCTGGACTATATTCCTTGCAGAACTAGAGTCCTTTCACTTTTTTTACTTGTTGAACTATTTAGCTCAGCACTAAGTCTTTGACTATGATATAAATAAAAAATATTATTTCAAAATTAAGAGAGAGAGGCCAGCACTATGGCATAATGGATAAAGCTGTCTCTAGGGCCGGTGCTGTGGCATAGCAGGTAAAGCCACCACCTGCAACGCCAGCATCCTGTATGGGCACCAATTTGAGTCCTGGCTGCTCCACTTCTGATCCAGCACCCTGCTAATGTGCCTGGGAAAGCAGCAAAAGATGGCCCAAGTATTTGGGCCCCTGCACCCACATGAGAAACCTGGAAGAAACTCCTGTAACCTGGCTTCAGATTAGCCCAGCTCTGGCCATTGTAGCCATTTGGGGCGTGAACCAACAGCAGATGGAATCTCTCTCTCTCTCTCTAACTCTGCATTTCAAATAAATAAGCCTTTAAAGGGGGAGGGGGTATTGGGGCCGGTGCTGTGGCTCACTTGGTTAATCCTCCACCCATGCACTGGCATCCCATATGGGTGCCGGGTTCTAGTCCTGGTTGCTCCTCTTCCAGTCCAGCTCTCTGCTGTGGCCAGGGAAGGCAGTGGAGGATGACCCAAGTGCTTGGGCACCTGCACCCGCATGGGAGATCAGGAAGAAGCACCTGGCTCCTGGCTTCGGATCGGGAAAGTTCCGGCTGTAGTGGCCATTTAGGGGGTGAACCAATGGAAGGAAGACCTTTCTCTCTGTTTCTCTCTCACTGTCTAACTCTATCTGTCAAATAAATTAAAAAAGGGGGGTGAGGGGGTATCATATTCTTAGAACTGTACCTAGAACTATATTGAATCTGTTGTTTGCATCAATATCACATTAACCTGAGAATTGATGAGATCTGTGTTGCAGTAATCATGCATTTGCAATGCCCCTTAGAATCTAATGTATTAATAAATTCTTTAAATAAAATTTAAAAATAAGCCAAATAGGTAACACTCTGAGCCACAATGCCTTTGATTTTTATAAAGTTATTATGTAGAAGATAATACACTTGTGCAGTGGGGCCTAGACTCCTATTCAGGTCCTTGCCTTCTATCTAGATAAGCACTCTAAGTACAGGCACATACACGGTGCACAAAGTGGTAAAGTTTACTTAAAAGGTGAGAAAGCATACATACATGTGGGCATAGTTGAGGAGTGGAGTGGCCAGGAAGGGGAGGGGGTGGGGGAGGGAAGTAGACAGCGCCTCAGCACCCTGCCCTGTCTGCCTCTGTAGAAGAGAGCCCCTCCCAGTTGCCAGCCTCTTTTTATGAGGTTGGAAGGGGAGTGGTTCCATGGCACCTCCCCCAGGTCCAGCAAAAGGGCTTCTTCCACTGACAGGTAGGCAGATAGGATTACACAGGGTGGGGGAGGTGTAGCTTCCAAAACATGGCCCTATTCTAGTTACCTGCCATATCGCCTATCACTTTCAAATATTTCCAGATAACTACAAATTCACAAAGCTGGATTACGGACGATTTATGAGAAGATGGCAATAATTTTAAAGAAATGTCGTTACGGGATCACTGAGAGCTCACTGAACCCCACAGTATGCGTGATCACAAAGACAAATGTTCCTTCAAAGGAGCAGACACCGGAATAAAACCAAACTCCTGTGCCGCAAAAACAGGCCCCAGCTTCTTGTGTCTGCCTCAGCCCAGGATGTCCATCCCTGTCATTCCTCCAAAGGAATTCACGGCTTGAGAGTGACCCCGCTGGCCTCCCAAGGTTCCAGTCACTGGACCCGCGGAGTCTCTTGCCTCTCCCGTGGTGAGAACCTTGGTGGTCAGTACTGTCCCGAGTGGCTTCTCTGGGGGGATTCCAGGTCCCTGCAGAATGTAAATGCCACCTCCAGGTAACCACAGACCCGCTGGAGCCCAGCGGGCCACCACGATTCCCGGAAGAGCAGAGCATCCCCACCAATCAACGGAGGAGCACCAGCACCGGTGACCAGCCAGGAACGTGGACACGAGCCGACCACGCTCCTCTCGGACCCAATTTCCGTCTACACGACCCTCAGCCGACCACGCTCCTCTCGGACCCAATTTCCGTCTACGCGCCTCAGCCGACCACGCTCCTCTCGGACCCAATTTCCGTCTACGCGACCCTCAGCCGACCACGCTCCTCTCAGACAAATTTCCGTCTACGCGACCCTCAGCCGACCACGCTCCTCTCGGACCCAATTTCCGTCTACGCGACGACCCTCAGCCGACCACGCTCCTCTCGGACCCAATTTCCGTCTACGCCACGACCCTCAGCCGACCACGCTCCTCTCGGACCCAATTTCCGTCTACGCGACGACCCTTAGCCGACCACGCTCCCCTCGGACCCAATTTCCGTCTACGCGACCCTCAGCCGACCACGCTCCTCTCAGACAAATTTCCGTCTACGCGACGACCCTCAGCCGACCACGCTCCTCTCGGACCCAATTTCCGTCTACGCGACGACCCTCAGCCGACCACGCTCCTCTCGGACCCAATTTCCGCCTACGCGACCCTCAGCCGACCACGCTCCTCTCGGACCCAATTTCCGCCTACGCGACCCTCAGCCGACCACGCTCCTCTCGGACCCAATTTCCGTCTACGCGACCCTCAGCCGACCACGCTCCTCTCGGACCCAATTTCCGTCTACGCGACCCTCAGCCGACCACGCTCCTCTCAGACAAATTTCCGTCTACGCGACGACCCTCAGCCGACCACCCTCCTCTCGGACCCAATTTCCGTCTACGCGACGACCCTTAGCCGACCACGCTCCTCTCGGACCCAATTTCCGTCTACGCGACGACCCTTAGCCGACCACGCTCCTCTCGGACCCAATTTCCGTCTACGCGACGACCCTCAGCCGACCACGCTCCTCTCGGACCCAATTTCCGCCTACGCGACCCTCAGCCGACCACGCTCCTCTCGGACCCAATTTCCGTCTACGCGACGACCCTCAGCCGACCACGCTCCTCTCGGACCCAATTTCCGTCTAAGCGACCCTCAGCCCCAGCTCCCCAGGGAGCCCGGGGGCCTCAGGTCAGCGGCAGGTCTCCCTGCTGGGCACCTGGCGATGAACAGCGACTTCCTGCAGCACCCGCACGTCAGAGGGCGGCTTCCGGCTCCCGGGCTGCGGCACAGGCGCCGCAGCACCGCCTCACCCAGCGCGGGCGTCACTGCGGTCTCCGGCCGCCACCGTCTCACCTTCCCCACAGCTGGGAGCGCCGGGGTCGAGTCGGCCCTCGAGGCCCCGCCCCCGCGGCACCGCCTCGGCTTACGTCACCGGGCGCGCGCGAAGCCGCCTCCCGCGCCGGTCCTGAGGAGGGGCGGCTGCCGCACGCGGAAGGCCGCGTGGAGCCCAGGGGCCGGGACGCGAGTCGGCGTCGGCCCGCCGTGTGGGACGGGTGCGGGTCCCGCAGCTGCTTCTCGGAGGAGAACGGAGCCTGCGCCTCTCCGGGGCGGGACTTCCGGTGAGCTGACGCGGTCGCCTCCGGGGCGGCAGGCCCGCTGCGGGTGACGGCAGGCCCGGTGCGGCAGGCCCGGCTGTGGTGACGGCAGGCCCGGTACGGAAGCCCCGGCTGTGGTGAGGGAAGGCCCGGCTGTGGCGGCGGCAGGCCCGGCTGTGGTGAGGGAAGCCCCGGCTGTGGCGGTGGCAGGCCCGGTGCGGGTGACGAAAGGCCCGGCTGTGGTGGTGGTAGGCTGCCCGGCTGTGGCGATGGCAGGCCCGGCTGTGGTGAGGGAAGGCCTGGCTGTGGTGAGGGTAGGCCCGGCTGTGGTGAGGGTAGGCCCAGCTGTGGTGAGGGAAGGCCTGGCTGTGGCGGCGGCAGGCCCGGCTGTGGTGGTGGTAGGCTGCCCGGCTGTGGCGGTGGCAGGCCCGGCTGTGGTGAGGGAAGCCCCGGCTGTGGTGGTGGTAGGCTGCCCGGCTGTGGTGGTGGTAGGCTGCCCGGCTGTGGCGATGGCAGGCCCGGCTGTGGTGGTGGTAGGCCCGGTTGTGGCAGCGGCAGGCCCGGCACAGTTGGCCTCAGGCCCCGGCCATCGCGACGCCTCATTAGGGGTGACCTTGACGATGCAAGCTGGGCAGAAAAGCAGTTTCATCTTTGAAATTACAGGCCACTGTTCTCATTCATCTTGATAAGCACTTTCAAGGAATAATAATAGTAAAGAAGTGGAATATCGCTTTTCTCAGGGTGATAGAGGCCGGCTGGCGACCCGTTTAAAGTGAATTTAGATGTTCAGAGATGCATTTGATTCTGTTATGAGGCTGAATCAGCCAATTTAGAAGGTTTTAAGAAGGAAAAAATTGGCTTTAAAAACAAAATTACATTGTATTCTGTTTTTAAAATGCAAACATACCCTGATTGTAATGTTTATTTAAGCTGTAGCTAGCTAGTTTGTTCTACTTGCAGTTGAGACAGTCGTGTGTCTGTGATCCTTGCCTTGAGAACCAAACCCATGGAACCTGGGTCTCTCTGGAACATGCCCAAAGGACTGCAGCACGGGACACAGAATCTGCACTCCTCCCTGTGGTCTGGAGCATTTTGCTGCTATGGGACTAGGGTGCGCATCTCTCAGATCCAACACTGGACAGTCCTTTCCTGCTGTTACCATGATTGCTTAGAGCAAGAACCTGAAGACTGTGGTTTTCTTTTATCCAAGGGGAGACCATGCAGGAGACACCAAAAATAACAGCTTTAAGCAGCTCCTGCCCTGATTAGAGGGAGCAAAGCCATCCCTGAACTCCTGCTGAACACAGTGAAAAGCCTGCAACTGGCCTATATATGAAAGACAGCAGGGGTTCTATGCGGAAGTCTTTGTAGTTCAAGAAGAGAAGGAAAAAGGCAACTCCAACAATTCTCTTTCCTGAATGGTTGGAAGGAACTGTGATGACCTGCCAGAGTTCGTAGTCATGAGGCAACCCCAGAACCTGCCTGCTCCACTGTGTACCATGCCCTGTACTGGAAGAATCGGAACACATTCAGTGACAGCATAGAGGACAAAAAAACTAATAGGTTCTGGAATCTTCCACCTCCTGTGCAAAAGTCAGGAAGGTGGCAGAACCTCCTTCTGGACCTATCTCCTGGTTTCCCCTGCCATGTGCATGTGAGGCATTTTTGCACAGATCAGTTTGCTGTTCCTCTGCAGAAAGTTTCACACCATGGACAGCAAATAGGCAGAGCAGCAGGGCAGATAACCCCTAGGCCAACCAGATCTCAGGGAAGTTGATGTTGGAAGCCATCCTCCCTGACCCAAAGTGGTGCTGATGGGTGTGCAGGTACAAAGAGCATCTTCATGACCTAGAAAACAAAGTACAGAATGATTTCTTCACTGATATTTACCTGAATTCTCCTGCCAGCCATAAGCTTTGGGATTTGGTGTAAAATCTGTCACTTCTTCACTCTCTTCTTTTTGTGTGTGTAATGGGTATAAAAACAATTCATGTCACACAAAGTCCTGAGGGTTCGGGTCATCTGGGGTAGTGCAGAAAGCAGGTTCATAATAAGAGTATCATTACTTTTCTTATGGATATGCATTAAAGAACTTTGCTCTTCTTTTTAAACTCAAAACTTTTAGCATAATGATAGTAAGAAAGATAGTAAGAAATGATAGTAAGAAAGATATGATCAGGAGAAGAGCCACTGGGGCAGGCATTGTGATGCAGCAGACTAAGCTGCCACTGTGACATCAGCATCCCCTATTGGAGGCTGATTAAGTCCCAAATACTGTGCTTCTGATCCAGATTCTTGCCAATGTGCCTGGGAAGGCTACAGAAGATTGCCCAAGTGCTCGGGCTCCAGCCTCCCACATGGGAGAACCAGGTGAAGTTCTTGATTCCTGGCTTCAGCTTGACCCAACATTGGCTATTGTGGGCATCTGGGGACTAACAGATGGGAAACAATATCTCTCTCTCTCTCTCTCTCACTTTCTCGCTATCTCTCATTCTGCCTTTCAAATAAATCAATAAGTCTTAGAAGAGGCAGAGAAAAGAGCAGAAGGTAGAAAAGGAGAATTAGAAGACAAAAGAAGAAGAATCACAATTGTGAGCCTCTTAGGAGACACCACCCTTGTACATCACCATTCTACATGCCTCCCCAGCTTTATCTGGTAACCCTTATTACATGGTAAGGGGTGTGTATATCCATACTTAAAAATATGGAGATTAATTTAATGAGCTCTTGTATTCAGCTCGTTCTTGTCTACTTAAGAGACTTTAGATTTGAAGTGAGAAGGAACACTGTTACCCTCCAGAACCACAATGCCAAAGCTTAAGAATCTGCTAGCATCAGGGTGTCCTCAGTGAAAGAAGTCATAATGGGGCCATTGGCCACATCCCAGAGGACTCCGGGAATTCCCCACTTGCTTTCTTTACCTGGGATTTGTGTTGACACCTTGAAATTTCTAAGCAAGTCTTCTCATAGGAGAAAAGAATGAAGACTATTTACTGTTGGGAGAGAATTTATTTCCCCTTTGAAGATAATTATCCTTTTCAAAAGCTAAGAAGCTGCTCTCTCCTTTAAAATTGCTGAAAACCCATTCCAAGATCTCTAGACTTGAATAGCTCACTCCACGGCAGACGTCGCTGATGAGTGATTCGTTTTCCAATTAAGAATCTCAGACATGAAGAACAGATGCTCTCATGCTTCGAATCCTGAAGCTGGTGCAACAAGCACTTTATGAATTGACTGAAGTGATAATCTGTAGATAGAATTGGAGAGATTAGGGGAAAAAGCTGACTTCTTGGATAATAGGATATTAATTCAACATTACTGGAGCATGTTTAATACCCAAAGAGATATTTTCAGTAATATTTTTAAAATCGTTCTTCATTTAACTTATCCACACAGTATTTCATCCTCGACGACTGATTAGAGTAAATTGGAACTGGGACTTGATTTCATGTAAAACTGAGTGAGTGTGCAAAATATATAAGGCAGAATTTGTTCCTAAAGAGTTGGTCTTATGTGATATAATTATGGTGTGAGCAACACAGACCTTTGCTCAGAGTGGAGTCTGGTTGTTCCAGTGGCACAGTGGAGGCTTTGGAGGATGTCCCAGTGGGAAGGAACAGACTTGCCCATGCAGAACCTGGGGTTTGGAGATGTCTGGTGGAACAGTAGACACAAACACTTGACCCCATTGACTGCCAGTGGGGGAAAGGGACAGGTAAGGGACAGTAGCTGTGTGTGAGCCAGGAGGCCTTTCTGAATGCATACAAAGAATTTCCTCTCTTGAAGGGAATGGACAGGAAGTACTAAATACTGAGTCTAGGATGCAATTGCCTGAGTGGCTGAATTTAAAAAAAGAAAAATACAAATGCCCAGCCAGAGCTGGTGTGTTTTGCTAAGGTAAGGGTCCTGGCTGGAAAAGCCTGGGGCTCTGTCCTGTTATTTAGAGACATACCTTGGGAGTTTTGACGTGTTTTGGCACCCTGAATCTTCAGATGGCAGATTTGTCCCATTGTTCACCAGCGGAAGGCAGCACAGGGAGAAAATGCAGGAGCTCCTCCCATAAGGCAACTAATACCCCTCAAATTGTGTGAATATCTGTGTCCTCCCAAAATTAATATGTTGAACCCCTACTCCAAGGTGATGGTATTTGGAGGTGGGGCCTTTAGCAGGTGATCAGGCAGTGAGGGGAAGCCCTCATGATAGAATTAGGGCCTGGATGTAGGAAGGAGCTGCCAGCCACCAACCAGGAGCAGCCAAATCCACTCATGCCTTGATCTGGGACGTTCAGCCTGTAGCACTGTGAATAACAGGTGTCTGTTGTTGATAAGCCATCCAGTCAGTGGTGTTGCATAGGCATCCTGAAGGGACCGAGGTGACTTGTACAGCATAGGATCTACCACTGCTTTGCATCTCATCCACTGTGCTTGTGACCAGGGTTAGGTTATAGCATAACCCACCTAGGAAGTTTCTAGGTTCCATGGATAGAATTGTGTCCACCAAAAAGATACATGGAAGTCATGAATACAGTCTTTGTAGACACAATAAATAAAGGTAAAATGGAGTCTTCAGGATGGCTCCTAACTCAGTGTGACTGGTATCCTTATGGGAAAAGGAAAACATGTAAAAACACGTACAAGGAGAAGGTCATAAGATGGAAGAGGCAGAGACTGAAGCACCTGAATCCTAATGAATGCCAAGGATTGTACTCAGAGGCTCAGGGAGTATGCCCATAGACACCTTGATTTCAGACTGGTAAACTCCAGCACAAAGACAAATAGATTTCTGTTGTTTTAAGCCCCCAAGTTTATGGAAATTTGTTACAGTACCACAAGAAACTAATACAAGTGGAAAAAGACTAAACCTCAAAGAATCTTCAAGTCCTTGTTCCAACAGGTACCAAGGAATGTACATAGAATTGGATTGTGAAGGAGCTTGGTCCAGGAGGCTGGAAGGTAAAACAGCTGAGATGCCAGAATTGACGTGGTAGACTGTGGAAGGCTCAGAAAGTGGGCAGGCTATAACGG